GTATTTTTTATGTAGCTATTTCATAAGCTGTTCTCTAGCATATTCCTTTCAGTTAATGGTATGATCTACCTCATTCTTTTTAATCCACTCCATGGTGTTTTATAACTTTTTGCTGTTTTAAATATTTAGATTGTTTTCAAACTAGTAATGTTTTGATGAATATTTTTATGTACATAGTCAAGTGTTTCTGTAGGTTAGGTATCTAAAAATGAAGTTTTAGTATTATGTATTATAGAGTATGTGAATTTACAGTTTTAATACATACCACCAAAAGCCCTCTCAAGATGAGAAACTTACCAGAAGTCTGTGAAAATACTTGCTTCCCCAAACTTAGTGTAACAGGAATATGCAGGTAAGAGGAAAGAAAATTTTTAAGGAAAATATATTAATTTATTATGATGATGATAATTTGGAAATTTCTGTATTTTTTTTTTTTAATGTGGGAATGGGGAAGGCTTCACTTTTCAAACTTTATGTAAAGTATTGACATGTTTTGTTCTAACAAGGTGTTTTGAGAATTATTAGAATAATTACAAGTGGGTTTTACTAAGTGTATAGAAGCTTGTATATTGATTATGAATTATGTCTTATTGTCTCTAAATTGTTTAGTGGAAAGAAATATTAATGGAACATTGTTGTCTCAAGCAACTTGTGAGCTCTGTGATAAAAGTGAAAACTCTTTTACGGTAGCAAATGCTTTAGGAAACAGGTAAGCGGTATGCTGGGTGCTGTCTTCATTAATATCTTATTTACATAGAATTTGTGTCTTTCGTATCATATTCCTTAGGCTAGAAGAAGGCATTAACAGGTAAAGAAGCTGAGGTCCAGAGAATGAGACAGAATGGGATTTAAATGGGCTTCCCTGGTGGCTCAGCTGGTTGAGAATCTGCCTGCATTGTGGGAAACCTGGGTTCAACCCCTGGGTTGGGGTGATTTCCTGGAGAAGGGAAAGGCCACCCACTCCAGTATTCTGGTCTGGAGAATTCCATGGAGTGTATAGTCCAGGGGGTCGCAAAGAAGATTTAAATCTTGTTTCTGTCTCTTGCTGGTTGTTTGACCTTTGTTTAAGCCAGTGTTCTTGTCTTCAGAAAGGGGACATACCATCCACTTCATAGGCTGTTACCACAGCTCAGAAACATACTTTACATACCTAAACAAGTACTATAGAGTAAGTGCTTAGTAAAAGGTAGCTATTTTTAGCTATTTTTGTTTTATTATTGATGTTATGTAACTTGTACATAATCTATAATATATAGTATATAATAATAACTTATTTGCAATCCACTTAGTATTTTCTAGGTACTATATTTATATATATTATTGATTTTATCTATACCGTGCCTTATAATACAGAGTAGTGTATACTTCAGATATGTTTACTTTATTGCAAGTAATTACTTAGTTGAATAGCCTATTCTAATCTATAAAGTTAGAAAGACAAGCTCTCAATTAAATTAGAGCTAGCATAATTCATTAACATTTTAAAAATAATTTTTGTTGTGTTGACAGGTGTGTCCGATGTGAACCAACATTCATTAATACCAACAGGTCCTGTGCATGTTCAGAACCTAACATTTTAGTAAGGCTTATTACATTGATAATGTATATATTTTTAAGTTGAATTGCTGATATTCTTACATAAACTTTTTTTTTTCTTATTTATTTATGAAGACAGGGGGATTATGTTTCAGCAGCACAGGGAATTTTCCTCTACGTATGATTTCAACTGCACGTTATGGAGAGCTTGTGAGTATGCTTCAGTTTTTTTGTTCTACTGTTAAGGATATTTCTGCTTTTCTTCCTTTGGTAATTTGGGGCTAAAATAAGCTCAGTCCATTGTTCCTCACATTTTCATAGGTTTGGCCATTAGAAGCCGTTTGAGTTTGTTCCTATGTCTTTTGGACATAACTGTATCTTTCTTGGAGCATTTCCTGTCTGGCACAACAAGATTTCCAGGCTTATCTTATACTTTTCCTGCTTCGGTCCTGGAAACAACTATTTCTCTAAGAAGCTCTTAAGGATAATATTTAGAAACAAAGATTACCATGCTTAGTATGCCTTCATTAGCAGGCATAGCTAGAAAATATATACACACATTATGTGTAAACATGTGTGTGAGTGTGTGCTCAGTTGCTCAGTCGTGTCTGACTCTTTGCGACCCCATGGACTTAAGCCCACCAGGTTCCTCTGTTCATGGAATTTTCCAAGCAAGAATACTGGATTGGATTGCCATTTCTTACGCCAGGGGATCTTCCTGACCTAGGAATTGAACCCACTGCTCTTGTGTCTGCCACATTGGCAGGCGGATTCTTTATCACTGCACCACCTGGGAAGACCATGCATATGCATACACACATCTATAACTATTTCTTTGTTTATCTTATTGTTTTATGTAATTTCTAAGAGAGACATCCAATCCTCTGTAGTAATATATCAGACAAGCAATAAAGAATTTCCAAATATTTGAGTCAGTGTCTTCACATTCCCTTTCCCCAAAGACCATGAGCTTACATCTTGGTTTGCTTTCCCAACTTTAATTTTGAAAAATTTTTATTGCAGAAAAGTTAAAAAAGAAAAAAAAAA